CTTGGGATCTTTGATCCACGGACCCACCGTGGATCTGCGCCGTGAACCTCTGCGCCATTCCCAATCCCGTTTTTCCCCTTTTTTTCCTCCCCCTGCAGCAGGAGGAGGCGGCGGGGCAGAACCAGAGCCTGATCCAGAGGCTGCAGGACCTGGAGCAGCATTCCCGGGAATCCAGCACGCTGCAGCACATCCAGGCCACGCTGCTCTACGACATCCAGGCCCAGATCAACAACATCTCCGCGCTGGCCGACTGGGCCTGGCGCAACCCTGGCTGCCTCAGCCCCGCCGACATCCGCCTCCAGGAGGAGATGCGGCATCCAGGTGGCGGGAATGCGGCCGGGAATGGCAGCGGGAATGGGATCCGGAATGGGATCCGGAATGGGATCCGGAATGGCAGCGGGATCTCGCTCCATCCCACTTCCCTGGGGTCTTCCGTAGCTTTTCCAGCTCTGTGGGTGTGGGATGAGCTCAGGATCACACCTGGAGTTTGCACAAATCCAGGGAATCTAGACATCCAAAAAAACTACAAAAAATTCCCGGAAATTTGGAGTTTTTACCATAAAAAATTTCATTTTTTCCAATTGAAACGTCAACAATTTTTTGTAATTTCTCTGGCTTTAGTGAATTTTTTGGGTTTTTTTTGTTTTTTGGGCAGGTTTTTGGTTCTTATCCAGGAGGAGATGCAGCATCCAGGTGGAGGGAATGGGATCAGGAATGGGATAGGGAACAGGGCCAGGAATGGGGCCAGGAATAGGGCTGGGAATGGGATGCAGAATGGGATCAGGAATGGGATCGAGAACAGCAGTGGGATCCCTCTCCATCCCACTTCCATGGGGTCTTCCGTAGCTTTTCCAGCTCTGTGGGTGTGGGATGAGCTCAGGATCACACCTGGAGTTTGCACAAATTCTGGAAAAAAACACAAAAAAAAATTCCTGGAAAATGTGGAGTTTTTCCTATAAAATACTAATTTTTTCCACTCAAAAACCCAACTAATTTTTGTAATTTCTTTTTCTTTTTGTGAATTTTTTTTTGTTTTTTTGTTTTTTGGGCAGGTTTTTGGTTCTTATCCAGGAGGAGATGCAGCATCCAGGTGGTGGGAATGGGATCAGGAATGGGATCAGGAATGGGATGGGATCGAGAATGGCGGTGGGATCCCGCTCCATCCCACTTCCCTGGGGGCTCCGGTAGCTTTTCCAGCTCTGTGGGTGTGGGATGAGCTCAGGATCACACCTGGAGTTTGCACAAATTCTGGAAAAAAACACAAAAAAAATTCCTGGAAAATGTGGAGTTTTTCCTATAAAATACTAATTTTTTTCCACTCAAAAACCCAACTAATTTTTGTAATTTCTTTTTCTTTTTGTGAATTTTTTTTTGTTTTTTTGTTTTTTGGGCAGGTTTTTGGTTCTTATCCAGGAGGAGATGCAGCATCCAGGTGGTGGGAATGGGATCAGGAATGGGATCAGGAATGGGATTGGGAACGGCGGTGGGATCCCTCTCCATCCCACTTCCCTGGGGTCTTCCATAGCTTTTCCAGCTCTGTGGGTGTGGGATGAGCTCAGGATCACACCTGGAGTTTGCACAAATCCAGGGAATCCAGACATCAAAAAAACCACAAAAAATTCCCAGAAATTTGGAGTTCTTGCCATTAAAAATTCACTTTTTCCACTTGAAACTCCAACAATTTTTTGTAATTTCTGTGGCTTTAGCGGAATTTTTTAGTTTTGTTTTTTGGGCAGGTTTTTTGGTTCTTATCCAGGAGGAGATGCAGCATCCAGGTGGTGGGAATGGGATCAGGAATGGGATATGGAATGGGGCCGGGAATGGGGCCGGGAATGGGGCCAGGAGTAGGGCTGGGCATGGGATTGGGAATGGGATCGGGAATGGGATCGGGAATGGGATTGGGAATGGGATTGGGAATGGGATTGGGAATGGCAGCGGGATCCCACTCCATCCCACTTCCATGGGGTCTTCCGTAGCTTTTCCAGCTCTGTGGGTGTGGGATGAGCTCAGGATCACACCTGGAGTTTGCACAAATCCAGGGAATGTTTTCCATCCAAAAAAAAACGCACAAAAATCTGAGTTTTTACCATAAAATTGTGGAATTTTTACCATAATTTTTTTTTTTCCACTTAAAAACTCAACAAGTTTTTGTAATTTCTCTGGTTTTAGTGATTTTTTTTTTTCCTGGGTTTTTGGTTCTTTTCTCCTGAATAATTTCAGATTTTCCCTGGAATAATTTGGGATTCTCCCTGGAATAATTTGTGATTCTCCCTAGAATAATTTCAAATTTTCCCTGGAATAATTTGTGATTCTCCCTGGAATAATTTGGGATTTTCCCTGGAGTAATTTGTGATTTTCCCTGGAAAAATGTATAATTCTCCCTAGAATAATTTCAACTTTTCCCTGGAATAATTTCAGATTTTTCCTGGAATAATTTGGGATTCTCCCTGGAATAATTTGGGATTTTCCCTGGAGTAATTTGTGATTTTCCCTGGAAAAATGTATAATTCTCCCTAGAATAATTTCAACTTTTCCCTGGAATAATTTAGGATTCTCCCTGGAATAATTTGGGATTTTCTCTGGAGTAATTTGGGATTCTCCCTGGAACAATTCCGAATTTTCTCTGGAATAATTTGGGATTCTCCCTGGAGTAATTTGGGATTTTCCCTGGAAAAATGTATGATTCTCCCTAGAATAATTTCAACTTTTCCCTGGAATAATTTCAGATTTTTCCTGGAATAATTTGTGATTCTCCCTGGAATAATTTCAACTTTTCCCTGGAATAATTTAGGATTCTCCCTGGAATAATTTGGGATTTTCTCTGGAGTAATTTGGGATTCTCCCTGGAACAATTCCGAATTTTCTCTGGAATAATTTGGGATTCTCCCTGGAGTAATTTGGGATTTTCCCTGGAAAAATGTATGATTCTCCCTAGAATAATTTCAACTTTTCCCTGGAATAATTTCAGATTTTTCCTGGAATAATTTGTGATTCTCCCTGGAATAATTTCAACTTTTCCCTGGAATAATTTCAGATTTTTCCTGGAATAATTTGGGATTCTCCCTGGAATAATTTGGGATTTTCCCTGGAGTAATTTGTGATTTTCCCTGGAAAAATGTATAATTCTCCCTAGAATAATTTCAACTTTTCCCTGGAATAATTTCAGATTTTTCCTGGAATAATTTGGGATTCTCCCTGGAATAATTTGGGATTTTCCCTGGAGTAATTTGTGATTTTCCCTGGAAAAATGTATAATTCTCCCTAGAATAATTTCAACTTTTCCCTGGAATAATTTCAGATTTTTCCTGGAATAATTTGGGATTCTCCCTGGAATAATTTGGGATTTTCCCTGGAGTAATTTGTGATTTTCCCTGGAAAAATGTATAATTCTCCCTAGAATAATTTCAACTTTTCCCTGGAATAATTTCAGATTTTTCCTGGAATAATTTGTGATTCTCCCTGGAATAATTTCACCTTTTCCCTGGAATAATTCCAGATTTTTCCTGGAATAACTTGTGATTCTCCCTGGAATAATTTCAACTTTTCCCTGGAATAATTTCAGATTTTCCCTGGAACAATGCGGGATTTTGCCTGGAGTAATTTGGGATTCTCCATGGAATAATTTCCAATTTCCCCGTAACAATCCCCTTTAGGCTCTGGAAAACCCTGGAAAAACCCCCAGCCACCATTGGAACCTGGAACCCTCACTGCCAAAACTTCACCCCTGAACCTCCAAATCCAGGATTTTTTTTTCTTTTTTTTTTTTTTTTCCCAGCTTTTTCACATTTACGGGAAAAGCTGTAACCGCCTGTTTCTCCCCGCTCGCATTCCCAGAAATCAAACACGGCCGGAATTGTCCCATCGACTGCGCTTCCGTCTACTACAACGGGCTCCGGAGATCCGGGATTTACAGCATCCTGCCCTCCGTCCGCGGAATTCCCATCGAGGTCCTCTGCGAGATGGACACGGAAGGTCCGGAATTCCCCAGGGATTTGTTGGATCCCGGCCATTCCAAGGGTTGTTCCCAAGGGAATGGGGGGCGTTCGCAAAGCTGCCGGAGATCCGGGAGGGTTTGGGAAATGCTCTGGAGGGAATTTTGCGGTGTCCAGGAGTTGGAGGGATGATCCTGGTGGGTTTCATCCGGATATTCCGTGATTTGGGTTCAAAGCAGGCGTAGGGAATGATAAATCCTGGAATGGTTTGGGCGGGAAAGGGCCTTAAATCCCATCCTGTTCCAACCCTGACACCTCCCACTGTCCCAGGGTGATCCAGCTTTTCCTTGGACATTCCCAGGGGTCCAGGGATTTTCTGGGAATTCTAGCCCAGCCAGGAATTCCTTCCCAAGATCCCACAATCCCAAAATCCCAACCCTCTGGCCATGGTGGGAGCCATTCCCTGTCCTGCCATTCCAGGCCCTTTTCCCAAATCCCTCTCCAGCTCTCCTGAGTTGGATCCATCCCCATCCCATCTCCTCTCCGGGAAGGAATTTCGGGATCCAGGGGCTTCCCTGGGAATTGGGGACTCCAGGCAGGGTCTCCCTTCCCTTTTTCATCCCCGAATTCCATAAAAATCCCTGGTCCAAACTTTCCTTGGACACTGCCAGGGATTCTCTGGGAATTCCAGCCCAGCTGGGAATTCCTTCCCAAGATCCCACCATCCCAAACTCCCCTTTCCCACTGGAAGCCATTCCCTGGCTCCTGGCCCTCCATCCTTGATCCCAAATCCCTCTCCAGCTCTCCTGGAAAATCCCAGGGATTCGAATTCCGCTTTTGCTCAATGGATCTGTCCGGATTTTCCCTGGATTTTCCCGTTTCCCGTCCTCTCCCGGCAGGGGGCGGCTGGACCGTCATCCAGAGGCGCCAGGACGGATCCGTGGATTTCAACCGGACCTGGAACGAGTACAAAGAAGGATTTGGGGACCTCAACGGGGAATTCTGGCTGGGCAACGACAACATCCACAGGATGACCAGCCAAGGGGATTATTCCCTACGGATCGACCTGGAAGACTGGAATAACAAACACAAGCACGCCTTCTACCAGGTCTTCAGGTAAAACCTGGGATAATTCCCGGGATTTCAAACCCCGGGAGACCCTCAGGCGACGGGAATTCTGTCCAGGGAGGTTTCCAGGCTGAGTCCGGTCTCTCCTTCCCTTCCCACCTGGATTTCATCCCAAATTTGGGATGAAAGTTGGGATAAAGTTGGATGTGAGTTAGGGAATGTGCGGCGATTCTGTTTCCGGGCTGAGCCCGGTCTCTCCTTCCCTTCCCACCTGGATTTCATCCCAAATTTGGGATGAAAGTTGGGATAAAGTTGGATGTGAGTTAGGGAATGTGCGGCATCATCCGGCCGGGCGGGAATTCCAAATCCATGGGAGAAAGGAGGTGTTGGATCCCATGGATAATCCCTGGCTCTTCCCTGGTTTTTTCGGCACCAATTATTGAGCTCTGTGCCCAAAATCTGAGGATTTTCAGGAATTTGCCCCCAAATTCCCCAAAGGGACTCAAAATTTTTCCTGGTTTGGAATTTTGTCCTCTCCGCTCATTTATTTCCTGGAATCCTTTGGAATCTCCAGCCCTTCCCCTCTTCCCGTGTTTTATTTTCCCAATTGCATCAGCCGCATCCTGGATTATTCTGGAGTGGTCAGGAGTGTCTGGATTGTCCCAGAGGATCCCATTCCCTGTTTCCCCTGGAAATGCTCGTGGCTCCTAAAATCCTGGAATGTTTTGGGCGGGAAGGGATATTTCCAACCTCATCCCATTCCATGGACAGGGACACTCTCCACCATCCCGGGATGCTCCAGCCTTTCCTTCGACACTGCCAGGGATCCAGGGATTCTCTGGGAATTCCAGCCCAGCCGGGAATTCCTTCCCAAGATCCCAGCATCCCAAGCTCCCCTTTCCCACTGGAAGCCATTCCCTGGCTCCTGGCCCTCCAGCCCTTTCCCAAATCCCAGCTCTCCTGGAGCCTCTGGAAAAGGCTCCAAGCATTCCCTGGATCCTTCCCTGATCCAGCTGCACATTCCCAGCTCTCCCAGCCTGGCACTGGATCCATCCCCATCCCGATTCCTCCTTGAGAAGGAATTTTGGGATCCAGGGGCTTCCCTGGGAATTGGGGACTCCAGGAAGGGTCTCCCTTCCCTTTTCCATCCCCCGATTCCATAAAAATCCCCCGAATGGATTTCGAATATCCATAATCCCAGAATCCCAGAATGGTTTGTGTGGGAAGGGACCTCAAATCCCATCCCATGGACACCTCCCACTATCCCAGGGTGCTCCAAGCCCATCCAGCATTTCCTTGGATATTCCCAGGGATGCAGGGATTTTCTGGGAATATTTTTTTTTCCCCTTGGAGCTGCATCCCAAAGTATTTATCTGCTGGGACAGAATTCCAGCCTGGAGCAGCTCCAGAAGATCCTGGAATGGTTTGGCTGGGAAGGGACCTTCAATCCCATCCCATTCCATGCCCTGCCATATCCCTGGAGCAACCTGGGATAGCGGGAAGTGTCAGGGTTGGAATGGGACGGGCTTTAAGGTCCATTGCCACCCGAACCATTCCATAATTCCATGATTCCACTAATTATCTCCATCTCCGGGATTCTCCTTAAGTGTAGAGCGCTGGACAATTAAAGGGAATTTTTCCCAAGGCTCCCACATTCCTTTGTCGTGGTTTCCCAGTCTCGCTCCACCCGTTTCACCCCGAAATTCCCAAATTCCCGACTACACCCATCCCACAGAAGGGAAAACCCCTCCTCACCCTCGACTTTTCGAGGAGGGATGCCGCCCAGAGCCGCCACGCCTCAGGAACGCCCAATCCCGGCCGGAAAATGAAAACTCCCACGGAATCCCCGACAATCCCAAGGGGAAAAAATTCCTTTTTTTTGCAGCATCGAGGACGAGGAAAACTTCTACCGGCTGCACGTGGACGGGTTCAGCGGCACCGTGGAGGATTCCTTCGCCTGGTACCACGACAAGAGGAGCTTCAGCACCCCGGATTCCGGGAATATCTGCGCCGAGATTTCCCACGGGGGCTGGTGGTACCACCAGTGCTTCTTCTCCAACCTCAACGGCGTCTACTACAAGGTGAAGGCCGGGAGGGGCTCGGGAATTTTTTTTCCCAGCTGGAGATTAGTTTTCCCGCTCGAAATCAGCGGGATGGACGTGAAGGAAAGGCGGGGTGGAGAGGGGGGGATGTGAGGAGCGAGGGTGTTGCTCTGGGAATTGTGGAATTGTTGGGGTTGGAGAAGTTCTCCGCAAAATCCAACTAAACCTCCCCTGGCACAGCTGGGTCCCATCACTCATTCCCTGGGAGATCATTCTGGACTTGGTGCGGTTGGAAAATCTGTTTCCAGGCAGGAATTACTCCCAAAATCCAGCTAAACCTCCCCTGGCACAGCTGGATCCCATCACTCATCCCCTGGGAGATCATTCCCGAATTGTTGAGGTTGGAAAGTTCTCCAGGGGTGAATTCAAGCATTCCCAGCATTTCCAATCCTGCCACTCATCCCTGTCCTCCCAAATCCATCCAAGAACAGGAAATCGGCCCCAGCCCAGGGTTGGAAAACCCTTTCCAGGCAGGAATTGTTCCCAAAATCCAGCTAAACCTCCCCTGGCACAGCTGGATCCCATCCCTCATTCCCTGGGAGATCATTCCCAAATTGTTGAGGTTGGAAAAGTTCTCCAGGGCTGGATCCAAGCATTCCCAGCATTCCCAATCTTGTTCCCGTATTTCCAAGAGGTCGTTTTTTCCATGACCCCATCCTAAAGATGTTTCCAAGTGTTTCCCACTTGTAATGGTTTTGGTTCATCATTTTAATTAGCAATTAATTTAATTTTGTTAATTTAATTTTGTTAATTAAATTTTGTAATTTTGTTTCGTAAGAGTAATTAATTTATTTTAATTTTTATTATTTTTTATTTTTGAGATTTTTTAATTTAATGTGTTGATGAGTGTGGTGGGTTTGGGTTTGGTTAACCATTATTATTATTATTATTATTACTGTATTATTATTATTATTATTTATTATTATAATAGTAATTATATAATAATATTAATAATAATATCAATCAAAATATCATTCTAATAATATACTAATAATAGTATAATATTGCAATATTATCATTCTATATTGTAATAATAAAATATCATATTGTAATGTTATTATATGTTATAACAATGATATTATTAATAATATTATAATTAGTGTATTTTTTATTATTATTATTAATGTATTTAATTTTTGTTGCGAGGTAGGAATAGGAGAAAGGTAAATTTCAAACTTTAAAAGTGTATAAAGAATACTTTATTAAAAGCAATTAAAATTTTAAAAAGTAGTAAGAACCAAACCAAATTAATTTATTTTTTACTGATTTTGATAAAGAATACTTTATTAAAAGCAATTAAAATTTTAAAAAGTAGTAAGAACCAAACCAAATTAATTTATTTTTTACTGATTTTGATAAAGAATACTTTATTAAAAGCAATTAAAATTTTAAAAAGTAGTAAGAACCAAACCAAATTAATTTATTTTTTACTGTTTTTGATATTTTTATGGGGTTTTTTTTACATGTTTGTATTTTGGTTTTTTTTGCTGTGTTTTTGTGGGTTTTTTACCATTCCTGAGCTCCGTCCTGTGCTCCCCAGGGCGGCCGATATTCCATCAAAAACCGGAAGATGCTGGGCCCGGACGGGATCGTGTGGTATTCCTGGAAGGACACGGACTACTATTCCCTGCGGAAGGTGGTGATGATGATCCGGCCGCGCGCCTTCCGGCCCCACCTCTCCCCGTGACACATCCCGGGACATTCCCCGCTGCGCATCCCGCCGAATGCCGGGAATGGCGGGCTGGGAATGGCGCCGGGAAACCGGCTCTGGATGGACCAAAAGCGGAGCTGTTGGGTTTTGTGGGAATGGGGGGATCCAAATCTCCTGGGAATGTGGAGGTGATTCCTCAGAAGGGAATGGATCCAACCAGGATCCATATCTCTCGGGAATGTGGAAGTGGTTCCTGGGAAGGGAATGGATCCAACGGGGAATCGAGCCGAGTGCTCCAATGTGGGAGATCTCCTGGGAGTGTGGAGGTCATTCCTGGAAAGAGAATGGATCCAGCCGGGATCAAATGGGGAATCGATCCATGTCCTCCAGTGTGGGAGATCTCCTGGGAGTGTGGAAAGGAATGGATCCAGCTGGGATCCAAATCTCCTGGGAATTTGGTGGAGGTGATTCCTCAGAAGGGAATGGATCCAACCGGGATCCAATCTCCTGGGAATGTGGAGGTGATTCCTCAGAAGGGAATGGATCCAACAGGGAATTGATCCATGTCCTCCAACGTGGGAGACCTCCTGGGTGTGTGGAAGGGAATGGATCCAACGGGGAATCGAGCCGAGTGCTCCAACGTGGGAGATCTCCTGGGAATGTGGAAGGGAATGTCCCCAGTGTGGGAGATCTCCTGGGAGTGTGGAAAGGAATGGATCCAACTGGGATCCAAATCTCCCGGGAATGTGGAGGTGATTCCTGGGAAGGGAATGGATCCAACAGGGAATTGATCCGAGTCCTCCAGTGTGGGAGATCTCCTGGGAGTGTGGAGGTGATTCCTGGAAAGAGAATGGATCCAATGTGGAATTGATCTGAGTGGTCCAACATGAGAGATCTCCTAGGAATGTGGAGGTGATTCCTGGGAAGGGAATGGATCCAGCCAGGATCAAATGGGGAATCGGTCCATGTCCCCCAGTGTGGGAGATCTCCTGGGAGTGTGGAAAGGAATGGATCCAACTGGGATCCAAATCTCCCGGGAATGTGGAGGTGATTCCTGGGAAGGGAATGGATCCAACAGGGATCCAACAGGGAATTGATCCGAGTCCTCCAGTGTGGAAGATCTCCTGGGAATGTGGAGATGATTCCTGGAAAGGAACTGGATCCAACAGAGAATTGATTTGAGTGCTCCAATGCAAGAGATCTCCCGGGAATATTGGGGTGATTCCTGGGAAGGGAATGGATCCAGCCAGGATCAAATGGGGAATCGGTCCATGTCCCCCAGTGTGGGAGATCTCCTGGGAGTGTGGAAAGGAATGGATCCAACTGGGATCCAAATCTCCCGGGAATGTGGAGGTGATTCCTGGGAAGGGAATGGATCCAACAGGGATCAAACGGGGAACTGATCCGAGTCCTCCAATGTGGGAGAACTCCTGGGAATGTGGAAGGGAATGGATCCAACCGGGATCCAAATCTCCTGGGAATGTGGAGGTGATTCCTGGGAAGGGAGTGGATCCAACCAGGATCCAACAGGGAATTGATCCGAGTCCTCCAGTGTGGGAGATCTCCTGGGAATGTGGAGGTGATTCCTGGTAAGGGCATTCCCAAGACTAAATCCAGGTGTTCGGAGGGTGCGAATCAAATCCAGGCTGATCCATGTGGAGTTCCATGACCGCCCACCCATTGGAATTTCCCAAGGGAAGCAATGGAGGCACTCCTGGGGGAATTTTCCACGCGGGATTTGATGGAGCAGATTTTATTCCCGAGGATTTGCATCCGTTTCCAAAGATCCTGAATATCCAGGGGTCCAGGGAATTGGCTCTGAGGGAAGCCGGGAGATCCAGTGCGCGTTCCCAGGGATGGAATCGCAGGAAAATGAGAAAGGATTGTGTTCCACACCCTTGGGAATAAATATTCCAAATGAAAGGATTCCAAAGCGAAAAAAAAAAAAAAAAACCTGGGAAATTTTTCCATTTTCACCTCCCCACCCTTTGCCAGGCAAAGAATTCCAGATGGATTTTCCATCCATCCTAAAAGGGATCAGGAATGATCAGACGGGATTTAAAACATTTTTTTTCACTGCCTTACTCTGGATAATTAGAATTGCTTTTACTGATTTGAATAATTAATTTCAATAATTAATTTGGATAATTAATTTTAATTTTCCATGGGTAGTTTCAGCTGGAAACCCTCCTTTTTCCCTGGCTTTGCCTTTTCCCGGGATCCAGATTTGGAAGCTGGGACTTGGCTCCGCCCTCCCTGCGTTTGGTGATGAATATTTTATTTAATTTAATTCAATTAATATTTAATTAATTGACCTTTTTTCCTATTCCATGTTTTCTGAGGAGGGAAAAGTCAGATTTGTCCCTTCCAACCACTCCCTTCCCTCTTGGTGCTCTCCTGGGAGATTCTTTCTGATATTCCAGACTCTGTTTTCCCTGGAATGTCGTTTTTTTATGGATAACTCCATGGACAAGTTGCCTTCCAAGCACCCCGGAAATAAATAATTCCAAGAGAATGAACCAACGTTTTCTGGCTCTTGGTTTTCCTTGGAAGTTTTCCAAGGGCGCGAGGTATTCCCAAGACTCTCCCAGATGTGTCTGGGATCTGACATTCCCGTTGGATCATCGGCCAAAATTCCATGATCCTTCCTGGATAATCAATACCCTGCTAAATGGATTAATTAATCACTTAATAAGCAGCAGGTTAATTGATTAATGATCCCATTACTATTATTAATCCACCATCTGATTTCCCACATTATTAAACTCAGCAATTCCCAAACCTTGGGAATCTCACATGGATGATCCGGAGTGAATCCTTCCATCCTTCCTTTCCCACAGCGTTTATCCCAGGAGCAAATTTCTCCCTTTCATCCAAGTCTTGAACTCCAGAAGATTCCAGGGAATCCCTGGAGCTGCTTCCCGAGCCTCGAGGGGCTCCAGGAGAGCTGGGATTTGGGAAAGGGCTGGAGGGCCAGGAGCCAGGGAATGGCTTCCAGTGGGAAAGGGATGGTGGGATCTTGGGAAGGAATTCCCGGCTGGGCTGGAATTCCCAGAGAATCCCTGGATCCCTGGGAGTGTCCCAGGAAAGGTTGGAGCACCCTGGGATTGTGGGAACTGACCCTGGGGTGGGATTGAAGGTCCATGGATCCTATCCCAAACCATTCCAGGATTTTGATGGAATTCAGGGATGGAAAAGGGAAGGGAGACACTTCCTGGAGTCCCCAATTCCCAGTGAAGCCCCTGGATCCCAAAATTCCTTCTCCAGGAGGAGTCAGGATGGGGATGGATCCAATGCCAGGCTGGGAGAGCTGGGAATGTGCAGCTGGATCAGGGAAGGATCCAGGGAATGCTTGGAGCCTTTTCCAGAGGCTCCAGGAGAGCTGGGATTTGGGAAAGGGCTGGAGGGCCAGGAGCCAGGGAATGGCTTCCAGTGGGAAAGGGGAGCTTGGGATGGTGGGATCTTGGGAAGGAATTCCTGGTTGAGCTGGATTTCCCAGAAAATCCTGGATCCCTGGGAATGTTCCCTGGGATAGGGGAAGGCATGAAGGGGGAAAAATTATTCCCCAAATCCTCTTTCCTGAGGATTCCTCAGGCCATGGAGTGGGGTGATCCTGGAATCCTGGAATGGTTTGGGTGGGACGGGACCTCAAAGCTCATCCCATTCCATGGACGGGTCACCTCCCACCATCCCAGGTTTTTCAGGAAGTGTGGATGGATCCATGCCCTCTTTTCCTGGTCCCTTTGGATACAGCCCCTTCCTGTCCCACCGGGACACCACGGGAATCCCAGCTGCATCCATAGGGAAGCCCAAACCCCTTTCCCTGGATTTGTCTGATCCCAAACCCGTGGGATTTGGGATTTGGGATCCCAAACCCATCCTCAAAGATTCCCAGGATCTGGGATCTCCTTTTCCCAGAGGATTGGATCTGGAGAACGGACACTTTGGACCCTCTGGAATGCTGCTCCTGAATTTTGGTCCCATTTTCCGGTGGAACAAAGACGGGAGAGGAACCTTCCCATTGCTTCCTCCTTGGAGCCGGAGCAGGAATTCCTGGGATTTCCTCCTGGCCCGGAGGAACAGATGGTTTTTTCCTGTTCCATGGATATTCCGTGGATGGATGATCCCACCTCACCCAGATCTTTCCCACTTTCCTCCTCTCCCAGCACACGGACGGAATTCGGATCCAACTCCCTGCTCCAGGTCTGGGACGGCAAAACTTCACGGGATGAGTTTGGAACTCCCAAATCTTCCAATCCCACCAGCTTTTTGGGGAATGGGGGGAAAAACCAGCCCAGCCTCCCACCCTAATTCCCTCCTTTCCTCCTTTTCCTGACTCCGGGATGCCCCAATCCCAAAAAAAAAACCACACGGGAAGCACCGCAGGGATCATGGAAACGAAAGGAAAGGCCAAGGCAGTTTTATTTACATCCGTTGTGTACAAAAAAAAGGACAGCTCGTGCCACAATCCGTCCCCAATCCCTGTTTTCCCCTTTCCCAGGATTCTCCCCGGGGCTCCGGGATCAGGGTGGGCATCTCCCGGCACCGGGAAAGAGCCGTGATTCCCTCCGGACCCGGATCGGAGCTTGGAATGTCTTATCCAGACATAGCGGAGACCCAAACCCTTCGTTCACATCCGGGTTGGAATTTTGGGGTGCAGCAGCACTGGGAACGCTTCCAGCTGGCAGCTGGGAATGCAGGGAATTCCCACCCCCCTGGAAAATCCAATCTTCCTTCTCCCCCGCCCTTCCTGGAGGCGAAGATCCCCCAGGAATGGCATGGCAGCTCCCAAAAAAAGCATCTCTTGGAATATTGGGGGGGTTTTCCACCCTCCCTGGTGTCACCAGGGGTTCCCATGGATATTTTTCCCTGCTCTCCACAGGGCTCCGTCCCACCTCCACCTTTTTCCCAAATTTTCCCTCATTCCCTTCCATTGTGGTCTCCACAGCCCTGCCCTGGCTTCTCCTGCTGCTCCATCTCCGGGAGCCGATGGTTTTTCCAGCTGGAAAGGGGGATTTCATCCAAGAATTCCCACTGGGATTGTTTTTTGGGAGGTTCTTACAAAAAGGCTTCTTTGGGAATTCATGGGGCTTTCCAATGTCACCCTTGGGAAGGATCATGGGCGTCTCCAACAGCTGGGAAAAAACCTTTGGAACAAGGGAATTTCACTCCCTGACCACTTCCAACGGTGGTGGTGGGCAAAAAAACTTCTCCCCCTTCCCAAAACGGGGATGGAAGGGCAAAAAAACCCGCCAGATCCGGGAAGAGATCCCAAATCCAGGCGGGAACAAGGGAGGGAGGGACACCAAGAGATTCCACAGCCCACGGATGGGATGGGATTGGATGGAGAAGACTCCGGAGGGATTCCCGCCCGCCCCGCCTGCCCAGCACCAAATTAAAGTCACACACGACGCACATTTCCCACAATTCCCTCCCCACCCCGCTCCGTATTCCCGGGATTTCTCCCGGGGATCACCTCCTCAGCCCTCGGCTGTCCCCTCCGGACCTGGCTGACGGGCGGGACCCACCCGGGTGGGCATCCCAAAATCCCGCCCTCATCCCTTCCCTCCCCACCCTCCCCGGAACGACGACGACGACTCCGATGGCTTCACCCCTCAACTCGTCACATCCACGAACAAAGAAAGCAGAGCAACGTCCACCATTCCCACACCATTCCGACCTGGAGCTGCGGAAGCCTCCGGCACCTCCCCGGAGCTGTCAGTCCGAGCAGAGCCTCTTTACCTGGAGGCTTCTTCCTTGAGCTCCTTGTTTTTCCTCACTTCTTCCGCGTGTTTGTCCTGTGGGATCGGGAAGGAGGAGGGGAAGGAGGAGGAGGAGGAGGAGGAGGAGGGGAACACGCGTTAGCCGGGTTCCAGGATTCCGGGATCCCCACGGACAGCGGCTCCGGAGGGGTTGAAGGCACGAGGTTCATCCCGAGGGACGCCACGGATGGGTCACCAGCGTCCTCTCCTCCCCTGGGGTCACTTTAAGGGCTGCTGGTGGCACTTGGGGACACTTTGTCCTCGCCCTCTGGCTACGAGGGAGACGTCAACCGTCCCGGGAAGCCCCATGGAGCTGGGATTAGCTGGGATTTTCCGGCATTATCTGGCGCTCTCCGCCTCTGCCCCAGCGGAGGCGTTCGGAGAAGGGCACTGGGCGGGCTCCGGATGTTTTGGAGGGAGCTGGAGGTGGTGAGGGTGGGATTTTCCGTGCGGAGGTTGGGAACAGACCTGATTCGGGAGAGAGAAGAGGGCTGGAAGGGTGGGAATGGCTCCCAGCACGGAGCTGGGGAGCTGCCGGATCCGTGGGAAGGGACCAGGGGGAGATCCGCCAGCCCGGAGGTGGGAAATGTGCAAGGGGAGTGGCAGGAATTCTCTGGAATTCCCAGAGAAGCTGTGGCTGCCCCTGGATCTCTGGAAGTGTCCAAGGAAAGGTTGGACAAGGCTTGGAGCAACCTGGGATAGTCCAAGGAAAGGTTGGACAGGTCTTGGAGAAATCTGGGATAGTGGAAGGTGCTGGGGGTGGAACTGGATGATCCTAAAGGTCCCTTCCAACCCAACCATCCCAGGATTCTACAATTCCTGGGATTCTGAGTCCCACCTTGGTGGGACATGGGAAAAGGACAAGACCCAGATCCCGACTCTCTGACCTCTCCCAAGCCTACGGATCCACCCGGGCAGGATCCCCCAATCCCAGTGGGACGCCGCGCTTGGGTGGGAAGGGAAGCGGGACCCCCTCTCCGGTGGTGCCACCCCAAGATCCAGCAGTATCCCGAATATCCCAACTCATCCCAAGCCCTTTTCCAGGCGCCCACCTTCTCCTGGAGGCGCTCCAACATGGCCGCCAGGTGGGCCTCGCGGTTCTCCTTGTTGGATTCCATCTTCTGCGCCAGCTTCTCCTTGGCCATCTTGATGAAGTTGTTGTTCTCCTCGATGGCCTTCTGCATCACTTCCCGCTCGTGCTCCCGCTTCTCCGCCAGGTGCTTCAGCAGCTCCGCCTCCTGGTACTGGGGACACCACGGGGACATTCCCGGCATGAAGCCACCTCTTCCCAAACCAAAAACGTGGAGGAATTCCCAACCCAAAAATGGGGAACCCAAAAATGGGGGGGGGAATTACCAACCCAAAAATGGGGAACCAAAAAACAGGGGGTAATTCCCAACACAAAAACGGGGAACCCAAAAACAGGGGGAGAATTCCCAACCCAAAAACAGGGAACCAAAAAATGGGGGGGAGGAATTCCCAACCCAAAAACGAGGAACCCAAAAATGGGGGGTAATTCCCAACCCAAAAATGAGGAACCCAAAAATGGGGGAGGAATTCCCAACCCAAAAATGAGGAACCCAAAAATGGGGGGGGGGAATTCCCAACACAAAAACAGGGAACCCAAAAATGGGGAGGGGGAATTCCCAACCTGGAAATGGGGAACCCAAAAACAGGGGGAGAAATTCCCTACCTAAAAATGGCAAACCGAAAAACAGGAGGGGAATTCCCAACACGAAATGGGGAAGCCAAAAACGGGGCAGGGGGAATTCCCAACCCAAAACCAGGAACCCAAAACCAGCAGGGGGCAATTCCCAACGCCAAAACAGGGAACCCAAAAACGGGGGAGAAATTCCCAACCCAAAAATGGGGAACCCAGAAACAGGTGGGGGGAATTCCCAACCCAAAAACAGGGAACCAAAAAATGGGGGGGAGAATTCCCAACCCAAAACTGGGGAACCCAAAAACAGGGGGGCAATTCCCAACCCAAATTGGGGGGAATTCCCAACCCAAAAACAGGGAGCCCAAAAACGGGGCAGGGGGAATTCCCAAGCTGAAAATGGGGAACCCAAAAATGGGGCAGGGAGGTATTCCTAACCCAAAACTAGGGAACCCAAAAATGGGGGGGAGATTCCAAACCCAAAAACAGGGAACCCAAAAACAGGGGAGGAATTCCCAACCCAAAACCGGGGAACCCAAAAACAGGGGGGCAATTCCCAACCCAAATACAGGAAACCCAAAAATGGGGGGGAGAATTCCCAACCCAAAAACGGGGAACCAAAAAACGGGGGGGAGGAATTCTCAACCCAAAACCAGGGAACCCAAAAACGAGGGAGGTATTCCCAACCCAAAACTAGGGAACCCAAAAACGGGGGAGGAATTCCCAACCCAAAAATGGGGAACACAAAAATGGCGGAGGAATTCCCAACCCAAAACCGGGGAACCCAAAAACAGGGGGCAATTCCCAACCCAAATACAGGAAACCCAAAAATGGGGGGGAGAATTCCCAACCCAAAAACAGGGAACCCAAAAACGGGAATTCACCCACCTTTCTCCTCTCCTCCGCCGCTTCCAGCTTCTTCTGGATCTCCTCCAGGGAAGGGTCGCGGCGCCGGGGCAGGGAGGCGTTGAATTCCGGAATTCCGTCGAAGGATGGCGGCTTCAGGATGACCTCGAAGGATTGGCCCGAGGTGCGCTTGTTGAGCTCGATCACTTCCATGTCGGAGATGACGCACCAGGTCAGATCCACCGTGTCTGGGTGGGGAAAAAGGGCGTGGAATCAGCGCCGGGAATTCCCATTCCGGGATTTCCGCGCCTGCGGAAGCCGATTCCGCCATCCCTGGTATCCATGAGTTTCATCCAGATTTAGCCTAAATGCATCCCTGGGGTTCAGGGATGTGGGGCGTGGTGTAGAAATTTTGGGATTCCCATGGATGGGGCTGAGCTGGGAATATTTGGGAGAGCTGAGGGCTGGGAATGCCCCTGTCTCTCCATCTCTCCCTGCTTTGGGAATTGGGAATGGGATCACGATCCAATTCCTTAGATAACCTGGAGGAGCCCCCCAAGGCTATCTTCCATGGCTTCTGGACATGGATTGGGATGAATCACCCGGAGCTGAAAAATATGGATACAGGATGAGAGAATGAAGAGCTCCCAGAGCTCCTCTGGATCCTAATGCATCCATGGGATCTGGTTGGGAATATTTGGGAGCGATGAGGGTTGGGAATGTTCCTGTCTCTCCATCTCTCCCTGCTTTGGGAAGTGGGAATGGGACCGTGATCCCTTTTCCAGTGTGGATCCCTCTTGGCTGGGAATCCTTTTCCACGGCCACTGGACAGGGATCAGGCTGAGAAATATGGAGCCCATGCTCCGGGATGAGGGAATGAGGATCTACCAGAGCTCCTCTGGATCCCAACCCATCCATGGGGTCGGATTGGGAATATTTGGGAGAGCTGAGGGTTGGGAATGTTCCTGTCTCTCCATCTCTCCCTGCTCTGGGAAGTGGGAACGGGATCGTGATCCCTTTTCCAGTGTAGATCCCCCTGGATAACCTGGAGGAGCCCCCCAAGGCTCTTCCATGGCTTCTGGACATGGATTGTGATGAATCACCTGGAGATGAAAAATAGGGATACAGGATGAGGGAATGAGGAGCTCCCAGAGCTCCTCTGGATCCCAACCCATCCATGGGGCCGAGCTGGGAATATTTGGGAGAGCTGAGGGGGCTGGGTCAGCCCAAACCCCTCCAGATCCCAACCCAGCCTTGTGCTGAATTCCCAGAAAATTCCGGAGCTGCCGCTCCGTTCAAGAGTGACTCCGCTCATGCCGAGGAGGGATTGAAGTCCCCCAGAGATCCCGGAATTCCCGGAATTCCGGGGGCTGCGGTGGGATTGGGAAGGGGGTCCCACCTTCGTAGGCGTAGGTCGGCTTGTTGAGGGGATCCGACAGGAAACAGGAGCAGAAGAGGGAGACGAGGGGCAGCTCCTTCATCTTCTCCTTGTAGGCTGGGAAGAGACGGCGGGATCGGGATCAGAGGGGCTCCGTGGGCCAGGGAAGGGGTGGGATCAGGATCAGAGGGATGAGGGGGCTCCGTGGGCCAGGGAAGGGGTGGGATCAGGATCAGAGGGATGAGGGGGCTCCGTGGGCCAGGGAAGGGGTGGGATCAGGATCAGAGGGATGAGGGGGCTCCGTGGGCCAGGGAAGGGGTGGGATCAGGATCAGAGGGATGAGGGGGCTCCGTGGGCCAGGGAAGGGGTGGGATCAGGATCAGAGGGATGAGGGGGCTCCGTGGGCCAGGGAAGGGGTGGGATCAGGATCAGAGGGATGAGGGGGCTCCGTGGGCCAGGGAAGGGGTGGGATCAGGATCAGAGGGATGAGGGGGCTCCGTGGGCCAGGGAAGGGGTGGGATCAGGATCAGAGGGATGAGGGGGCTCCGTGGGCCAGGGAAGGGGTGGGATCAGGATCAGAGGGATGAGGGGGCTCCGTGGGCCAGGGAAGGGGTGGGATCAGGATCAGAGGGATGAGGGGGCTCCGTGGGCCAGGGAAGGGGTGGGATCAGGATCAGAGGGATGAGGGGGCTCCGTGGGCCAGGGAAGGGGTGGGATCAGGATCAGAGGGATGAGGGGGCTCCGTGGGCCAGGGAAGGGGTGGGATCAGGATCAGAGGGATGAGGGGGCTCCGTGGGCCAGGGAAGGGGTGGGATCAGGATCAGAGGGATGAGGGGGCTCCGTGGGCCAGGGAAGGGGTGGGATCAGGATCAGAGGGATGAGGGGGCTCCGTGGGCCAGGGAAGGGGTGGGATCAGGATCAGAGGGATGAGGGGGCTCCGTGGGCCAGGGAAGGGGTGGGATCAGGATCAGAGGGATGAGGGGGCTCCGTGGGCCAGGGAAGGGGTGGGATCAGGATCAGAGGGATGAGGGGGCTCCGTGGGCCAGGGAAGGGGTGGGATCAGGATCAGAGGGATGAGGGGGCTCCGTGGGCCAGGGAAGGGGTGGGATCAGGATCAGAGGGATGAGGGGGCTCCGTGGGCCAGGGAAGGGGTGGGATCAGGATCAGAGGGATGAGGGGGCTCCGTGGGCCAGGGAAGGGGTGGGATCAGGATCAGAGGGATGAGGGGGCTCCGTGGGCCAGGGAAGGGGTGGGATCAGGATCAGAGGGATGAGGGGGCTCCGTGGGCCAGGGAAGGGGTGGGATCAGGATCAGAGGGATGAGGGGGCTCCGTGGGCCAGGGAAGGGGTGGGATCAGGATCAGAGGGATGAGGGGGCTCCGTGGGCCAGGGAAGGGGTGGGATCAGGATCAGAGGGATGAGGGGGCTCCGTGGGCCAGGGAAGGGGTGGGATCAGGATCAGAGGGATGAGGGGGCTCCGTGGGCCAGGGAAGGGGTGGGATCAGGATCAGAGGGATGAGGGGGCTCCGTGGGCCAGGGAAGGGGTGGGATCAGGATCAGAGGGATGAGGGGGCTCCATGTGCCAGGAGAGGGGGGGGGATTAGGATTAGAAGGACGGAAAGACTCCATGTGCCAGGAGAACGGTGGGATTGGGATCAGAGGGGTTGGGGGACTTCCATGTGCCAGGAGAGGGGGGGGGATTAGGATTAGAAGGATGGAAAGACTCCATGTGCCAGGAGAAGGGTGGGATTGGGATCAGAAGGTTTGGGGGATTTCCATGTGCCAGGCAAGGTTTGGGAGGGGGATCAGAGGGGTGGAGGGGCTGCCACATATCAGGAAAAGTTTGGGATTGGGGTCAGAGGGATGGGGTGGATCCACGTGGCAGGAAAAGTTTGGGATTGGGGTCAGAGGGATGGGGGGGTCACTCCATGCCAAGGAAGGGCTGGGATTGGGGTAAAAGGAATGGGGAGGCTCCAGGTGCTGGGGAAGGGGTGGGATCAGGATCAGAGGGATGAGGGGGTGTTCCGTGTGCCAGGGAAAGAGTGGGATTGGGATCAGAAGGATGGAAGGGCTCCATGCGCCAGGGAAGGTTTGGGATTGGGATGAGAGGGGTTGGGGGATTTCCATGTGCCAGGAAATGTTTTGGATTGGGACCAGAGGAATGAGGGGGCTCCATGTGGCAGGAGAAGGTTTGGGATTGGGATGAGAGGGGTTGGGGGATTTCCATGTGCCAGGAGAGGGGTGGGATTGGGATCAGAGGAATGAGGGGGCTCCATGTGCTACTGAAAGGGTTGGGATGGGGGAAAAAGGGATGGAGGGATTTCTAGGAGTCAGGGAAGGGATGGGATCGGGATCATAGGGATGGGGGGGCTCCATGTGCCAGGAAAGGAATAGGATCAGGATCAGAGGGATGGGGAGGAAATTCCACATTCCAAGGAAGGGATGGGATTGGGATCAGAGGAATGGGGGGAATTCCAAATTCCAGGGAAGGGATGGGATCATGATCAGAGGGATCGGGAATTCCTACATCCCTGGGAAGGGATGGGATCGGGACGGTGGCCAGCCCCACATGTTCCAAGCAGGATGAGCTGAGGATCCAGACGTGCAAAGGGAAAACTCGGGAAGGACTCGGGATTGTCCCGGGCTGCTGATCCCGGTTTGTCACCACCGGGATGCCGGGAGAATTCCAGGGCCAGGATGAGCCCGGAACACCCCAGGATGGGTTTGGGGTGCCGGGGAGGGGGGTGGGGGGATTTGGGTGGCGTACCGGCCAGAGTCATGGTGAGGGAATCCTTGGAATTCTGCAGGAAGAGCGATCCTGGGCCTGCGGAGAGAAGAAAGGGATGGGGGTCAGTGGTGGGGTCTTGGGAATGGGATGATGGGAACTCAGCGGGATGGAGGGATGGGATAATGGGATAAGGGATGGGATAATGGGATAACGGGATAACGGGATGCGATAACGGGATGGGATAACGGGATGGATGGGATGGGGTGGGATGGGATGGGATGGGATGGGATGGGATGGGATGATGGGATGGGATGATGGGATGGGATGGGATGATGGGACAGGAACACCCTGGAGTGACAGGATGGGATGGGCACACACCAGGATGACGGACACATTCCATGAGATGTTCCTGGCACACACAGCCATTCCCAGCTCCACATTCCCAACCCACACCTGTGACGACACGTGCTGGGAGCCACACCTGGACACACCTGGACACACCTGGACCCCTCCCAAATTCCCCCTCCAATTCCCCCCACTCGTGTCCCGACATTCCCAGTCCCCAGCTCCCCCCCTTCCCAATGCTCCAGAATCCTCTCCTGCATCCCACTGGGATCGTTCCCGGGGTCTCCAGGACCCCCACCCTCTTCCCAGGGCTTGGGATGGGAATTGGGAATGTGAAAACCAGGATAACCCGGGCTGTTCCAAATTCCCACGGTTTTTGGGTGTGGAAATGTGGAAACGCCCTTCCCAGCTGCACCAAAGCATGCAACGAGGTGGGATTTGGGGATTATTCCCGGGTTTTGATCCCCAAATCCCTCCTGTAAAACAGGGATCCTTAAATCCCTGCAGCTCCCGAGGGAATGAGCATTCCAGCGCTGCGCCACGCCCCACCCATCCCGAGAAATCCCAGCCCTCCTCCCCAAATCCTGCTGGGATCTGCCCTGGGATTCCCAAAAATAACCCGGCCGCAGCTTCCAGGGGCTGCTGGGGGGTGGGAACAGGGAGAAAATCTGGGAATACCCAGCTGGGATCGCCGTCCACTTTTCCAGGCGGGGCTGGTGGGGATGGGGTGGGGATGCTCCGATGGATTCCTGGATTCCGGTTATCCACGGATAACCCGGCTGGAAGCCATCCCCTGGCTCCTGCCTCCCTGCTGCCGGAATTCCCACCCCAAATCCGGCTTTTCCCTGGGATCCGCTGGCATTCCGTGCCCGCTCCCCAGACCTCACGTGGCGTTCCCACGGGATGAAACGTGGGGATCGCCCACCAGAGCCGCAGCGGGTGGGAAACGGGATCCATCCCTATGGATACGGCTGGATGGGAGGGAGGGGAGTGGTCCAGCCCCGCTCCTGCCTGGATGGAGATGATTTTCCAAGGCTTTGGAGGAGGGGATTCCTTCCCTGCCCCATTCCCAATGGGAGTGGGATGTGGTAGGGGACCTGCTGCTGTCACCCCAAAATCCCAGCGTGGATGGGATGATCCAAATCCCGACCAGGCGATCCCACTCCCGAACATGTGACCCCAGTCCTGACCAGGAGATCCCAATCCTGACCAGGAGATCCCATTCCTGAACATGTGATCCCAATCCTGACCAGGAGATCCCATTCCTGAACATGTGATCCCAATCCTGACCAGGAGATCCCATTCCTGAACATGTGATCCCAATCCCAACCACGTAATCCCATTCCTGACCACATGATCCCATTCCCGACCACGCGACCCCATTCCCAACCACTCAATTCCATTCCCAACCATGTGATCCCATTCCAAACCACGCCATCCTATTCCTGGCCACACAATCCCATTCCCAGCCTGGTGTTCCTATTCCTGACCACTCGACCCCATTCCCAACCACGGGATCCCATTCCCAGCCAGGTGATCCCATTCCTGACCTCTCGATCACATTCCAAACCACGCCGTCCTATTCCTGGCCACACAATCCCATTCCCAACCAGGACACCTCCCAAATTCCCACTCCAATTCCCCCAACTCGTGTCCCGACATTCCCAGTCCCCAGCTCCCCCCCTTCCCAATGCTCCAGAATCCTCTCCTGCATCCCACTGGGATCGTTCCCGGGGTCTCCAGGACCCCCACCCTCTTCCCAGGGCTTGGGATGGGAATTGGGAATGTGAAAACCAGGATAACCCGGGCTGTTCCAAATTCCCACGGTTTTTGGGTGTGGAAATGTGGAAACGCCCTTCCCAGCTGCACCAAAGCATGCAACGAGGTGGGATTTGGGGATTATTCCCGGGTTTTGATCCCCAAATCCCTCCTGTAAAACAGGGATCCTTAAATCCCTGCAGCTCCCGAGGGAATGAGCATTCCAGCGCTGCGCCACGCCCCACCCATCCCGAGAAATCCCAGCCCTCCTCCCCAAATCCTGCTGGGATCTGCCCTGGGATTCCCAAAAATAACCCGGCCGCAGCTTCCAGGGGCTGCTGGGGGGTGGGAACAGGGAGAAAATCTGGGAATACCCAGCTGGGATCGCCGTCCACTTTTCCAGGCGGGGCTGGTGGGGATGGGGTGGGGATGCTCCGATGGATTCCTGGATTCCGGTTATCCACGGATAACCCGGCTGGAAGCCATCCCCTGGCTCCTGCCTCCCTGCTGCCGGAATTCCCACCCCAAATCCGGCTTTTCCCTGGGATCCGCTGGCATTCCGTGCCCGCTCCCCAGACCTCACGTGGCGTTCCCACGGGATGAAACGTGGGGATCGCCCACCAGAGCCGCAGCGGGTGGGAAACGGGATCCATCCCTATGGATACGGCTGGATGGGAGGGAGGGGAGTGGTCCAGCCCCGCTCCTGCCTGGATGGAGATGATTTTCCAAGGCTTTGGAGGAGGGGATTCCTTCCCTGCCCCATTCCCAATGGGAGTGGGATGTGGTAGGGGACCTGCTGCTGTCACCCCAAAATCCCAGCGTGGATGGGATGATCCAAATCCCGACCAGGCGATCCCACTCCCGAACATGTGACCCCAGTCCTGACCAGGAGATCCCAATCCTGACCAGGAGATCCCATTCCTGAACATGTGATCCCAATCCTGACCAGGAGATCCCATTCCTGACCATGTGATCCCAATCCTGACCAGGAGATCCCATTCCTGAACATGTGATCCCAATCCTGACCAGGAGATCCCATTCCTGAACATGTGATCCCAATCCCAACCACGTAATCCCATTCCTGACCACATGATCCCATTCCCGACCACGCGACCCCATTCCCAACCACTCAATTCCATTCCCAACCATGTGATCCCATTCCAAACCACGCCATCCTATTCCTGGCCACACAATCCCATTCCCAGCCTGGTGTTCCTATTCCTGACCACTCGACCCCATTCCCAACCACGGGATCCCATTCCCAGCCAGGTGATCCCATTCCTGACCTCTCGATCACATTCCAAACCACGCCGTCCTATTCCTGGCCACACAATCCCATTCCCAACCACATGATCCCATTCCTGACCACACAATCCCATTCCTGACCACTCAATCCCATTCCAAACCACGCGATCCCATTCCTGACCACACAATCCCATTCCTGGCCACACAATCCCATTCCCAACCACATGATCCCATTCCTGACCACACAATCCCATTCCTGGCCACACAATCCCATTCCCAACCACGCCATCCCATTCCTGACCACACGATCCCATTCCTGGCCACACAATCCCATTCCCAACCACGCCATCCCATTCCCAACCACTCAATCCCATTCCCAGCCAGGTGATCCCATTCCTGACCACTTGATCCCATTCCAAACCACGCCATCCTATTCCTGGCCACACGATCCCATTCCCAGCCGCAGGATCCCATTCCTGACCACACAATCCCATTCCCAGCCACGGGATCCCATCCCCAGCCAGCCGCACGTGGCAGGGTGAGGAATCCCGCGGGATCCACCCCCGGCAGGGCTGCGACCCCTTTTCCCACCCTGAATTCCAAGGGAAGGACCCTCCCATCTCCCATCTTTTTCCCTGGAAAAAAGCATCCAGCCATGGATGGAGGAATGGGAAGGGATTTGCGGGGGGGGGGGGGGGCCCCCCCCTTTCCATTCCCAACCACTCAATCCCATTCCCAGCCAGGTGATCCCATTCCTGACCACTTGATCCCATTCCAAACCACGCCATCCTATTCCTGGCCACACGATCCCATTCCCAGCCGCAGGATCCCATTCCTGACCACACAATCCCATCCCCAGCCACGGGATCCCATTCCCAGCTAGCCGCACGTGGCAGGGTGAGGAATCCCGCGGGATCCACCCCCGGCAGGGCTGCGACCCCTTTTCCCACCCTGAATTCCAAGGGAAGGACCCTCCCATCTCCCATCTTTTTCCCTGGAAAAAAGCATCCAGCCATGGATGGAGGAATGGGAAGGGATTTGGGGGGGGGGGGGGGCTCCCCCCATTCCCTGCCTGGAATCTTGGGAAGCTCCAGAGGGGGAAAAATGGGATGGCAGCGCCTTCTCCCTCCCCCCTCCTCGTCCCTTTTTCCATTTCCCTGGAATAAAAATTCCAGCGGCTGCTTCCACCGGCAGGAATTCCACATTTTGGGGGGCTCTGGGTGGGGCTGGTGCAGCCCCGAGGGGTCCCGGGGGGCGCGGGGGGGGGTGCAAAATCCCGGGAATGCTGAAGAGGATCCTCCCAGGATAACAGGGTGAGGGTCTCCCAAAAATTCAGGGCGGGGATCCCAGGAATGCGGAGGGAAGGGGCTCAGCCCCGGGAATTTGGGACTCCGAGGGTTCTGGGGGGGCGAAATCCCGGGATTTTGGGGGGTCGGGGTCCCCCGAGGATGCTGCGGGGGGCGAAATCCCAGGATTTCGGGGCGGTTTGGGTCCCCCGAAAATTTTGAGGGTGCAGAATCCCGGGATTTTGGGGGGGGGGTCCCCCAGGATTTTGAGGGGGCAGAATCCCGGGATTTTGGGGGGGGGGTCCCCCAGGATTTTGAGGGTGCAGAATCCCGGGATTTTGGGGGGGGGGTCCCCCAGGATTTTGAGGGTGCAGAATCCCGGGATTTTGGGGGGGTTTTTGTCCCCCGAGGATGCTGAGGGTGCAGAATCCCGGGATTCTGGGGGGTTCGGGTCCCCCAGGGATGCTGGAATGGGGGTCCTCCCTCAGAAATGGGGGTCCCCGAGGATCCCGGGAAAGTGGAGGGGGGTCGTCCCCTAAAGGATTCTGGGGGTGGGGGGATTCTGCGGATCCCCGGAAAATTCTGGGAATTCTGGGAATGCTGGGGGTGCAGAATCCCTCGGGAATTCTGGGGGTGCGGAGCCCCAAAACCCAAATTAGGGGCGGAAGCCGAGGATGAGGATGAGGATGAGGATGAGGATGAGGATGAGGATGAGGATGAGTTGGGGAGCGGGGGGGAGAAATCTCCAAAAGGAACGGGATAAGGAATTCCAGACGGCTGGAAAACGCCCCGGGAAGAGCGGGACCAGCACCCCAAAAGGGATGGGAACACCAGGGGGACAAAATGGGGACCCCACCGCGACATCCAGAGCAAATCCCCCCAAAAAAACTGCCGTACATCAACACCCCACACCCCCAAATCCATCCGAGCCCTCCCGCCCTGAACGGAACCGGCAAAAATTCCCTAAAAAATCCCCAAAAATTCCCAAAAAAATCCCCCAAAAATCCCAAAAAATTCCCAAAAAATTCCTAAAAATTCCAGGGGAGGCTGCCAGACTCTTACCCCCTGCGGTGGTCGCGCTGCTCCTCTCCCCAAATCCTTTACGCCCCCCCAAAAAAATTGCCCTACATCAAGCCCCCCCTCACCCCCCAAATCCATCCGAACCCTCCTGGCCTGAACGGAACCGGCCAAAATTCCCCAAAAATTCCCCAAAAATTCCCCAAAAATTCCCCAAAAATTCCCCAAAAATTCCCCAAAAATTCCCCAAAAATTCCCCAAAAATTCCCCAAAAATTCCCCAAAAATTCCCCAAAAATTCCCCAAAAATTCCCCAAAAATTCCACGGGAGGCTGCCGGACTCACCCCACGGCGGTGGTCGCGCTGCTCCTGGCGCTCTCCCGGCTCCTTTAACGCGGCTTTGGAAGATCCCGGGCGGGGGGTCCCCAGCGCCCCCCATGACATCATCGCCCAGCCCTCTGATTGGTCGGGAGCCCGTGCGAATGAGGGCCCCGCCCGGTGACGTCACAGCCCGCAGCTATTTTGGGGTTGGAGCAGGGAAAGGAAGAAAAAAAAAATGGGGAAAAAAAAGGGATGGATGGAAAAATTAAGGGATTTTAAAAAAGGGATTTGGGGTGAAAAAAGGGGATTTGGGGGGTTGGGTGGGAGGGGGGGATGCGGAGCGGGGAGGAGCTGCGGGGGACAAAGTGACAAAGGGACACGGAGGGGTTCGGGGCGTCGCAAGGGGGGCGAAGTGTCCCTGGTCCCTTCTTGTCACAGCGCGGGGACAGTGGGGTGTCCCCCGAATTTGGGGGGCAGTGGGGGGACATCGATATGGGGACAGCGGGGTGACATCGATGGGGGGGACAGTGGGGTGACATCAGTATAGGGACAGTGGGGTGACATCGATATGGGGACAGTGGGGTGACACCGATATGGGGGGACAATGGGGTGACATCAATATAGGGACAATGGGGTAACATCGATATGGGGACAGTGGGGTGACACCGATATGGGGACAGTGGGGTGACATCAATATGGGGGGACAATGGGGTGACATCGATATTGGTGACAATGAGGTGTCCTTTCCATCCTGGGGGACAATGGGGTGTCACCCCCAAGATAATGGGGTGACATCTCCGAGATTTGGTGACAATGGGGTGTCCTGTCCATCCCAGGCAGCAATGGGTGCTGTATCCAAGATTTGGGGACAATGGGGTGTCCCCTCCATGCTGAGGGACATTGGGGTGACATACCCAAGATTTGGGGACATTGGGGTGTCATCTCTGAGATAAGGGGGTGACATACCCAAGATTTGGGGACAATGGGGTGTCCCCTCCATCCTGAGGGACATTGGGGTGTCATCTCCAAGGTTTGGGGACAATGGGTGCCCTGTCCATCCCAGGGGACAATGAGGTGTCATCTCTGAGATAATGGGGTGACATCTCTGAGATTTGGGGACAATGGGGTGTCCCCTCCATGCTGAGGGACATTGGGGTGACATACCCAAGATTTGGGGACAATGGGGTGTCATATCTGAGATAATGGGGTGACATACCCAAGTTTGAGGACAATGGGTGTCCTGTCCATCCCAGGCAGCAA